CGCCCCTCTCTCTCACTCTCTGAACCGGTTCTGCTATCTCTCTCTTCTCAACACACCCCAAACCCACTCTAGGTTATAACAAAACCAACAATCTAACAAACTAACCAACACACTTACTAATTGGGTTAGGGTAAAATGAGTTTGGGCTTAAGGATTAAAGGAGGTTGGGCCAATCTGGTAGGCAGGGCTACGAAGTGGGCTAACTAATTTTTATTTTCGAGGGACTTGCCGGGTTAGGCCTTAAACGGCCAAAATTCCCAACATGTCTCGTATCTGACCCATTTATCATTTTAGAACTTTAAGTGAAATCTGTCTAAAAATAGTCCCGTAAGTAAATGACTCGCCGTTGCTAACGTGGCGGTGATGCGAGTGATATGTTATCGTCATGTAAATGCCACGTCTACGACATGTGAATTTTTTTTTATTATTTATTTTACAAAATGTCTTAGTAAACTATTTTTTTTAATCTCGTATATGACATCTTTTATCATTTTTAGAACATTTAAATGGACTATGTCTGAAAATAGTCCTACAAGTAATATTTTTTTCGCTAAAATAGTCATCCGACGTGGCATCTACGTAGCGATGACATGTCTGCTGTGTTAACGCCACATCAGCAACGGCTGCCAGCATGGCGAGTCCGGCACCGAATGACCATTTTAGCGAAAAAATTTTACTTATAGGACTATTTTCAAACATGGTTCACTTTGTGCTTTCCAAAATTTTTAGTATTAATAGTCATTTTGTGTCTATAAATATAATTTAATTCATTGATTATAATTTATTAGAACCTTAAATCAATTTTTTTTTTTTTTTTACTTACAAATGTTGTTTTAAAACTAAAATTAATTCTTTTGATTTATTGTGATAAATTTAGTATATTTTAGTTAAAAGCACTGCTATTAAATAACGAAAATATAGAACATAATACTAATACTGCAATATTGTAACGAAAATATAGAACATAATACTAATACTGCAATATTGTGTTTATAGTTTGTTGTTGTGCTATTTCAAACACAAACTAATTAATACTAATGTGTATTTTTAATCAACACCGTGTTGATTTAGGCATCAATACAGTAATATAAGAGAAATTTCATCCCTTTCAAAATTCATCCGTAATTGATTTTGGATAACTTTCCAATATATATATATAATACTTCATTCGTCCCTTAAAAATCGATAAATTTTTCTATTTTGGTATGTCCCGTAACAAGTATTCATTTTCTTTTTAGTAATTGTACTTTATACTAATATTAAAAATATCATATTAACTTACAATATATTACACAAATGTCACTATCTTTATATCACACAATACTAATAAGGTTATTTGAGTCTTTTCTACTTTATTCTTACCACACTCCAATATAATACTAATATTCTTAAAAATCAGTGCAAAAAACAAACAAATAGATAGATAAGAGACGGATGAAGTAACTTTTAGCAATAAATCTATAACTATAAGTATATTATATTTTAGCAATAAATCTATAACTATAAGTATATTAATATTATATACTCCCTCCGTACGCGTCACATTTACCTTTTGCATCATTGTATTTAATATTAAAAATATCTTTATATTTTTATAGTTTTTTGTACAATGGTCTTCTATTAGTATTATAAGACACTAATGGAAGTGTTTCTATAAATTTTTTTCTTAATTTGTACTACGTTTTGATATAATAATAACTAATATTCAAATATCAACACGCAAAAAGTGAATGAAACCCCTAATGCCGGATGGAGATAATATTTTAAAAAAAAAAAAATTAGCCCTAATTTAACATTAACAACCGCGGCCTACACCAATAGTTTTTATTTTTCTTTTTTTCTTCTTTTGCAACCTATACTAAAAGTTCTTATTTTTCTTTGTTTCTTTCGTTTATATATATGTAGTATATTACAATCATTATTGTTTATTGTTATATAAAAGTCAAATTATTTTATTTAAATTTATTATTTATTTATTTATTAAATGTTTAAAAAAATACAAATATTTTGCCCTCTGAATTCGTAGGCCAGTTCAATCACTTGGTCTGCAAGTTCCATGTTATCATAATACTTTGGGAAGACAAATTCTCGGATTAAAACATCTTGTTTGTAACATGGATGAATAAAAAGTTGAATTTTTTCATACTTTTGCATTGGTTGTCCTGAATATTCCATTGTTATTTTTACATCTGGTTCAAAAAGCTAGATAAAATATTTGCTGTCAAACTGTGGCTTTTCTTAGGTTATGAAAGGCTGATACCGTGTAGAAATGGTAGAATTCACATACTCCTTCCGTCCCACTCCAAATGGTCCGTTTGAGCTTTGTAGTAAATTAAAAAATAATAATATTTTATTGGTTAGTGGAAGTGCGTAATAAGTTTTGATATTTTTGATATTTAACTTTGTCTATAAAGTGCGTTCTAAGTAAACTCCCGATCAAACCTAATACCCTGCAAATTATGTCCGACAAGACAAATTACACTAGACAAACCATGTGTGCTAGGTGGACCTGAAGGCGTTGGGGGTTTGAACTAATAACATCACGGTCATAGGTTCACTTCCCACACCAGAAGTAGTAGACTTTTTATTTATTTTTATTTGTTTATTTATTTATTTATTTGGTTATTTTCCTTGTTAATAATGATTTTTTGTTTTTTTTTTTTTTGTGACATCGGATCCTTCGAATCTTGGCTTTTAAAATATATGGTTCATGAATGATATTTTGACGTGTTATGGCTAATGTGTTTTCGGCTAGTTAGAAAGATCAAGAAAACTTTTGGACTAGTCTTGTGCAAATTGAATGGATAAACAAAAATGACATAAAAAAGAAAGACAAATAATTTGAGAGGAAAATAAAAATAAAGATCATGTCTTAATTAACTTTTGCCAAAGACTTTTGATTTGTACTCCTTAAAAAAAAATATTTTATAATATTTATATTAACTTTTTTTCAATCGTATAATAAATTTTTTAAGTTCAAAAGCATTTTCTTAAGGCACGTATTGAGGTAGTTTTTGAAAAAAAAAAAATTAAATTACTTTTAAATTAAAATAATTGTTTTTTCAACACAATTTTTTTTACCTAATATAATATATTCATAAAAAGATATAAAGTAAACACACTCATATTTTTAAAATTATACTAAACAATTTAAAATTATTAAATACTACTATAATTTATAAATTTTAAAACTAAATTATAGAGTTAAATTAATTTAAAGTTATATTGCAATTTCATTTTTAATTGATATAATTATTAAAATAATATTTTCAAAATATAATTTACCAAATTTAATAAATAATTTTTATTATACATGGTACTTAAATTTTTTAAATATAATTAATAAATTATAAAGATTTAATAGAAAAATATATTTACATTAAAATCTTATTATTTTTGCTAATTTTGACGACTTAAAAATATTTTCAATTTTATTACATTATTTCTTTTGTCAAAAAATTTCTTTTTTAAAATTTATTCAAATATAATATCAAAAATAAAAAATTTCTGAATATTATTCTCCTCAACTCAGACTCAAATACATAAATTTATTTTTAAACATTCTCCAACAACTCTCATGCGTGTGATATATAAAATGTAATTCTTTCTTCAAATATTTCAATATGGGCCACCTTTTTTTAATGTAGACAATATTAAATTTAAGTATTGGTAATGTTTTAGAGTCATTTTTTTTTTATATTAAAATTAATATAGAGTGGATGTGGAAAAAAAGAGATGATATTTTAATAAAAAAAATGGGTAAATTATATAATATTTGTTTGTTATAAAAATATCTTGTGTTTAATTTATTGCGTGAAATGTAAAATTTGCACAAACTTAACCTTGGTTTACTGGTAAGATTTTACTATAATTTTACTATTTCAATTTTTTTTTTCTCTAAAAAAACTATCAAATTAAATACTTATTTTTTATTTCTTATTTTTTATTACACTAAAATTTAATTTTACATTCAAAACATCGTATCAATAAATATTTATATCACATTAAACAATTATTTTCAAAATTTTATTATTTAAAATCAAAACCCAAAACCAAAACCTCACAAGTAAACACAAATTTTTATACAAATAAAAAATATAAAATATCTTACTTTTTTTATAATAAAATAAATAAATAAATAATTGATCAATAATTTATTTGTATAATTTTTATAAAAATAAGATAACAATTTATCATAAAAAAATTAAAATGCGTTTGATACAGACGATGAAATTGTAAAGAAATAAAAGTAGATAATATAATTGAAAAGAAAAAGAATTAAAATAAAAAATATGAATTAATTATCTTGTTTGATAAAATAGATAATTCAATTGATAAATACAAGAAATACAAGTATTTAAATGAATCTATTAAGAATAAATGATTAATAGGACAATAAAAAATTCCAATGAGTGAGAATCTATAAAAAATAAATTTTGTGATTTTTTTCTTTAAATAATAAATTATATATGATATTTTGCAAGATCAAATTTTAATATAACTTTTTAAAAAATAGTAAAAAAAATTAAATATTTGAATAATAGATAAAATGTGATATTTTATAAAATTGAAATAATATAATTTAATAAATAAAAATTAAATAATAAAAAAAATAAAATAAAATAAATATACTACATCAATATACTAATCAATATACTGCATCAATAATACTAATTTCTATAAAAAAAAAATTAAAAATAAAATGTACTGTAAATTAAAAAAAATTATAAAAATACTTCTACCATTATATTATAATATTAATAAAAATATTTATCCAAATATAAAAATAATTTTAATATTAAATATATTTTATTTATTTTATTGATATAAAACTTACCTAATTTGATTTATATTTACAATCAAATATAATTATTGCAAATTTTATATTAATAGAAACAGTTTTACCCGCAGACGAACACAACCTATATTTTTTAAATTTTATTTTTATAAGATATTAAAAAATGTATCTGAAAAATCCGATTAAAACAAGTTAGGGCGTGGCGGCCTCCACACTAGCGTCGTTTCACCTCTTGATTAGATTCATCCATTCGATTCGTTCTGCGACTTCCACCGTCTGTCTAACCTTTCCCTTCCCTTCTTCCCTATTACCAGTCCATCTATCCGCTTGGATTTCCCATGGCTGCCGCCGTTTCTGCGCCTCCCATCGTACCGGATGCGAAGCCCTCTCAAGACCTAGACCAAGACCAAGGGGACCCATCAAATCCCTCCCGCACCACCAATCACCCACCTGAGGCTGACCCTACTCCTCCGCATTCCCCAAAATCAGAACCCCTTTCACTTACATCCCTGTCTCCTCCGTCTTTTTTCGATTCAATCGCCGAACTCAAAGACATCTCCGACGCCATCGCCGCCTTTCATCACACGTACGAGGACCTCCGCAATCACCTCGACTCCATAAAGGACTCTATCGTGTCGTTACTACCCCACGAGACTCCGGCGATTGCCCCGTCGTCGTCTGCAAACACACCTCTGGTTCCTGAGGAAAAAGCGCTGCAGAAACAATCGGAGCAATATTTCCGAAATCCTGACCTCGAAGACCTATGTAAAACGATGTGCAGCCGCGGCGTCCGGAAACATCTGGTTACGCATCTCTCCAATCTCCCCAAACTGCGGGAGGAAGTTCCCAAGGCGTTGAGACTGGCGCCAAACCCTCCGAAGATAGTTCTCGAATGTTTGGGTAAATTCTTCTTGCAGGGAAGTAAGGCGTTTACCAGGGATTCCCCTATGATTCCTGCTCGGGAGGCATCAATTTTGATATTGGAGTGCTTTCTTCTGATGATGGGAATTGATGCCGACGCCGCCGAATCAATATGTATTGAGAAGGAAATACAGGAGGAGGCAGCGGATGCAGCATTGGCATGGCGGAAGCGGTTGCTAATGGAAGGAGGTTTAGCTCAGGCTAGCGTGATTGATGGTCGGGGGCTGTTGTTTTTTGTTGCTTGTTTTGGGATCCCATCTTCATTTAAGAGGGAGGATATTCGTGACCTGTTGGTAGCCGCCAATTCAGAGAAGGAGGAGGTTGTCACTTTGTTGAAGAAATCTCCCTTGCTAATGAACAAACTTCCAGGTAGTGATTTTTTGACATACACTAGATGTATGTATGTATATATATATATATATATATATTTGGCTTGTGGCATCTGTGTTGTGCAATTGTGATTTTGGAATCGATTGTTTGTATCTATCATGAGCTTTCATTAATAGTGATCTGTTGAAATATAATTCGAATCTGTTGTGCTATAGAAACATGCAAAATGTAGTTGCAGTATGAGGAAATTATGATCACTTAATTGGTAGAATAAGTGTGTCGAAATTAGAACAAATAACTCATGACAGCCGAAGAAATAGTAGCTCATCACTGAGTGTGTTCTTTTGAGGGTTTGAATTTTGTGTTTAAGATTTGAATAGATAAATTTTGAATTGAAATAGTTATATGATGTGATATAAATAGGTATGATGTGATGTTTTGAACGTAAAATTAATTTTTTTAGTATAATATAGAAAATAAAAGTAAGTGTTTGATTCGATGTTATTTGGGGGGGAAAATTCGGTGAATAGTAAAATTCTGGTTAGAAACTCACAAAAAAACACAACCTAATCTTTATTTATCCATTTTGGACATGGGCGGTTCCTGTCGAGTTGGCCCACTTAAGCATAACTAGACCGCCTAAGTGAGTGTTTTTATCTTAAATGGCCTACTGGAACTACGGTTTGTGTGCTCTTCTAAAATTAACTTGGAATTTGACGTATTTGGTTGCGACATGATTTCTTTGACATGAAAACTTGTTGTGTAACCCTCTAATGATCTCCCTTATTTACGCTGCTATCCTTCTGTTCCACATTTTAATTGATTTGGTTGTTTAATTTGGCTCAATGTGATAATGATATAATTGTAGAATCTGTGATATATCCAAATTGTTATCATTTTTAGGTTCATTAATAGATTTTTGTATATGCTGATTAATCCCTTTTTTGTCGTTATAGTTGTTTGCTAGTTTAGCTCAATCTTGACAATGGCGCATTTTCGTGCTATAAATAAGTGATGAATGCAAGTGTAGCTTACTGGTAGTACTTCTGGCTTCCTCTCCTTTGTAAAACATATTTTTCATTGCACGTCTTATGCTTTTAACATGTTATAATCAATCACAACTTAAAGCTAATAAATGCCATTGCCATGCCCAACTCTACAGCTCGGAAATAGAAAGCAGTGCAGATGATTTTTCAGCTATAGCATGCTGAATAGATAATTTCTTGTAGTTTATTCTTTATTTAATAAAGTCGTGTTCCCCAAAGATCTCTTATTGATTTAACATCCCAAAATACTGATGTGATTTCTGCAGAAATCTTAGAGGGTATGATACAGAATAAAATGGAAGTAGATGCAGTAGACCTTGCATATACATTTGGACTTACCGAGAAGTTCAATCCTCAAACAATTCTAACTACATTGCTCCGTGAATCTAAAGAAGCTGGAAAAAAGCCGAAAAAGGTACCACAGGCTTCAGCTGCTACAAATGTAAGTAAAAATCTGCTCGTCCAATCATTCGGCAATCTTTTTGTATACCCTAATTCAGACACCTTTTTGTTTTTTTAATCACTCGATGCAGAATGAAGCAAATAAAAAGCACTTGGCTGCTCTGAAGTCTATCACGAAGTGTTTGGAAAGACACAATCTTGATCCTGCAAAGATCCTTCCGGGATGGCAGATAAACGAGAAACTTACAAGCTTAGAAAAAGAAATCGCCGAATCCGACAAGAAAACAGGAGAGCAAACAGCGATTAAACGCAAAGCATCTGATCCCGAGCCATCAAAGAAGCTAAAAAACCAAGAAGCGAAGCGCGCCCGGTACACTACGCCCGGTCCAAAACGACACAAGCCTATCGGTCATAACGATAACAGAAGGAATTTTACCGATAACATCCACGCCAAGACGTATTCTGCTCCCCCCACTGTCATCTATGGAGGCCCCGGCGCAGTTTTCCCACACGGTCTATCAGCAGCAAACCACGGCATTCATCAAGGGGTAGTCGTGGATGCATCTCCGGCACCATTATTAAATCCGGCTCACATTTTGCATAGGGAATCAGCCATTAACGAAAGGTATGCCGCCCCTCAACCAACTTCAGTAGCACTTAACGGTTTGTATAGGGCGCCGCCACCTTCAGTGGAAGGCTTTGCTGGCGCACCTAATATTTCTTCGGTTCGAGGCACTGCCCCTGCCGATCTTTATCAGTTTGCTGATTCAATTGCTGAGAGCGTATCGCGTGGTGCTGGTGCTGGCGCAGCCGTTTCCTCGGCTGTCCCTGCGTATTTTTACCCGCGATGATATGATATGATATGATATGATATGGTACGACTGCTGGCAGATATCTTAGGCTGAATTCTGTTCTTGTAAGGTTATGAATATGAATTGAGCAAATTTTTAATTTAGAATTACAGTGAATTTTTGAAAGAATTCATGCATGCATCCAATAACATAAAGTTGTTAGAATTTGGGTTCTATATATATATATATATATAAAGTTGAAAGAATTCATGCATGCATCCAATAACATAAAGTTGTTTTGCCTAATTTTTATTTTGGATTTTGTTTGCATAGAGAGTTCTATCTATTTTGATTTTGGGTTTGCATTTTATTCAGTTTAGAGTTTGGTAATTATAATATTTCATTTATATTATTATAATTATAATAAAATATAAATTAAATTAGTAAAGCTAGAAGGTAAATTTTTTCTTGTGTGTTAAATTCTTCTGATTCATTCAAAAGTCTACCATCCCTACCTTCAATTGAACTTGTAATTTTGAAAAAACAGGTTGGCCTACAATAATATAATTTGACTAATATTCTATTCAATGAAGATATCATTAAGACTCATCCCGTAAAAGATGGTTTGATGGTTTAGGGTGGACTAGTGACCCCGAGGTTATGGATTCAAATTTTCGACGCTTTCGAGTTTTGCCTGTCACGTATAGTTTCCTAAAGAGGTTGCACGGTGACAATGTGTGCGAAACTAATAAATTAATTTGACTAATATCTTATCCAAGTGAACTTCCGCGTGCCCCAAAGGTATACACTATTTTGCTCATCTTCTAGCTGAACTTACACGTCCTTTTATTTTCGCTTCGATCCAACTTCGATGTTTTATACGAAAAATAGCAAACCAGTCATTTGTGTTTTTTTTTAAACTTAGGAATATATAATAACAAACTTGAGATGTTTACTTTCTAAATATGAATGGTTCGTAACTTAGAATTTTTACTTTTATTTACTTTTATATTATTATATCCTCCATGTTTTTTAGTTTTGATGCCTATATCCGGTGAACCAATTACCGTTGAAAATGACATATCTCTTTATTAATAAGGCACAAAATTCAATCCTTATAATTTCTTAGATATTTCCATAAGACTCCAAGCCTGCACTTTCTATGTAAACCTTAGAATTATAGGTTGCCTTTGTACAACTTTGAATTTTTGTGTGTAATTATGACTATTGATAAAATAAATAGCATATGTGGCCGTGGTCACCTCTATTAACAGCTCATGGAAAATATCTTTGAAGAGTTTATCAATATTATCCTTCTCCACAACCTATAATAATAATAAAAAAATTAGACATTGGAAAACCGTACTATTGAGAATCACACACCGTAATGCGATCTACATACATATTGAACGACCAAGTAGTGAAGTTGGTTTGAAGCCGAGAGGTAATTTCAATGTCTAAAATATGGGAATTACATGCCTCGATACATCTTCAAAGATCTTATAAAAAATGTTGAATTCATGAACTTATCATAACGATGCAACTTCAGCATTGAAATTAAAAGAAAACTAATAATGGAAGAAATAATTCTTAAATATAATAAATCAAACGGAAGTGAATAATTAAATTGAATTAACCTCTGGCTATTGCTTCAAAAATGATTCTGAATCTCAGATCTCATTCTTCAAGAAACCGTGAGTTGCGTTGTCAAACTCTTACTCTCAGATAGCGATAGTGTATTCTAATTTTTTTATAGTGAGTTTAGTAACCCATATGTGAAACTATTTATAATAAAAAAAAAAAAAAGAAAAACCGTCCATCACGGTTTTCTACCACTTCTCATGTAAATTCTCAATGTGAGCCACAATTTATGATTAGTTTAATTAGTCAAATAAATTTTAAAAATAATCAAATGGATATATATATATATACATATATATCTAAATTAAATATTAAACTTAAATTTGATTAATTAATTAATTAAACTAACATTCTCCCACTTGGTTCACTCAAAACCATCACAAACATAAAGAGAAACTTTACATACGAATCATGGCGGTAGGTTTTCTATAAACGAATATTGTCTTTCATGTATCTAGAGCTGTAAACGAGCTGAACATGGCCGAACTTGTCATGTTTGAGCTCGACTCGTTAAGGACTCAAGCTCTCTGGTATTCGTTCGTTAAGATACACGAGCTGAAATTTTTGTTTGAGCTCGGCTAGTTTAGCAATTTTTTTGTTTGTGCTCGGCTCGGCTTGGCCCGTTAAGAGAAATTTTAATTAATTAATTAATTAATTTTTAAAAATAGATTCAATTAATAATAATAATTATAATAGTTATTAATAAATTTAAATAAAAAATAAATGAAATATAATATTTATAAAAATATATATACTTATTAAATATAAAATTATTAATTTAATTTTTCTAATAAATATTGTCGAATGTTCGCGAACAAGCTCGAGCTCGTTCGTGAACATAATAAGCTAAAATTTATGTTAATGTTCGCCTCATTTAGTTTAACGAACGAGCTCTTAGCAAGCTCAAACGAGCCGAACCGAGCCAAGCTCGCAAACTGTTCGTTTGTTTTACAGTTCTACATGTATCACGATATGTCAAACATCTCAAAGTAAGTTCACAACTTAATGAATAAATTCTATATTTATTCCGGGTTAAACTTAAGCAAGTTTTTTCAATAACAAACAAATATGTGCACAATAACACGTGAAAACACTAAACTAAATAAGAGTCTCAATAACAAGGTGCACAAACAAATTACATTATGGAACCAAGTCCATACCTGCTACGCGATCCATGAAACTCTTTAGTGGCATGTCTTTAGTCAAGGAATTGACAATCATCAACTTGGTACTAATGTGTTCACTGACCACTTTATTTTCCTTGACATGCTCTCTTAAGGCTAAATATTTGATGTCGATGTGTTTACTTCGATTGCCACTCTTATTGTTTTTAGCCATAAAAACTATAGTAGAGTTGTCACAATACAACTTGAACGGCTTAGAAATAGAATCAATGACTCTAAGTCCGGATATGAAACTCTTTAACCATACACCATACGAGCTAGCCTCGGAACATGAAACAAACTCAGCCTCTATGGTGGAAATAGAAGTGATAGACTGCTTCGCACTTCTCCAAGGGATATCTCCACCAACCAATATGAATATACAACCCGATGTGGATTTCCGAGTGTCAATGTTGCCAGTGTAGTCCGAATCGGGGTAGCCAATTTCTTCAAAAACATCAGTTTGTCTATACATGAGCATAAAATCCTTCATACCTTGAAGGTACCTCATCACTTTCCTTGCAGCTTTCCAGTGGTCAATACCTAAATTACTTTAATATCACCTTAGTACTCCAACAACATATGCTATGTCAGGTCTGGTGCAAACTTGAGCATACATAAGACTTCCGACTGCTGAAGCATAAATAATATTTCTTATGTGTTCCCTTTCAAAGTTATTTTTTGGGTTTCAAAGTCATTTTTCAGGCACTGACTCAAATCGAGTCTGTTACCCTTAAAAATGGGAACTACACTTGGTGAACAATATTTCATATTAAATCTTTCTAGAACTATATTGATATAGGCTTCTTGAGACAAACCCAAAATGCCTCCATTTATATCTCTATGGATCTTAATGCCAAACGACATAAGATGCATCTCCCATATTATCAAATTTCTTTGAAAGACGTTGTTTCACCTCATATAACATCCTTTTATCATTAGTCGCAAGCAAAATATCATCCACGTACAACATTAAGAAGCAAATATGAATCCCATTAACCTTCTAGTATGTACAGTCATCCATGATGTTTTCTTCAAAGTCGAATGAAGAGATAATACCATAAAGTTTCAAATACCATTGGCGGGAGGTTTGCTTCAATCCATATATGGATTTATTGGCTTACAGACTAAATTTTCTCCACCACTAGAGGTAAATCCTTCAGGTTGTTTCATATAAACCTCTTCATCTAAATCACCATTTAGGAATGCCGTTTTCACGTCAATTTGATGTAACTCAAAATTAAACTGAGCTACTAATCTTATGATCACACAGAGAGAACCTTTCTTAGATATCGGAGAAAATGTCTCGGTGTAATCGGTTCTTTCAATTTGACTGAATCCTTTGGCGACAAGTCTTGCTTTATGTCTTTCGATGTTGCCATTAGTCTCTTTTAGTTTTGAAGACCCATCTACATTCGATGGTTTTTACAACATTAGTCAACTCAACAAGATCCCATACTTTATTTGATGCCATAGAATCCATCTCGTCTTTCATAACATTATGCCACATATTGGATTCTTTAGAATTCATGGCTTGTGAAAATATTTCAGGATCATTTGCGACTTCTATATTGTAATCCAATTCTTGCAGATACACCATAAAGTCATTAGAAATTGCTGGTTTTCTGACTTGTGTAGATATTTTCAATGTTGTTTCATCATTATCATAAAGAACTTGCTGACCAACTGATTCATCATCAGATTTTTCAACATTTTCTTGATGTTCTTTATTAACAACTTGATCTACATGATCATTTTCAGCAACTTGTGAAACTTCATTAGTTAATCGTCTAACACCCGTCGGAACTTGATGAGTGTGAGCGACAATCAATCTACGCTCGATTCAGTTGGTTGAGCTCTATAGTGATCTCTTTCAGAATGAGTATTTTGAAAATGATTACTCATACTAATAAAGTGATTCTCGAGAAATTTAGCATTTTTTTATTCCACAATTCTAGTCTTATGAGATGGACAATACAATCTATATCCTTTGAACATATCCAATAAAATACCCACCAATAGTCCTCGGATCTAGCTACTTTTCTTGTAGATTATAAATTCTCACCTCAGACGGGCATCCCCAAACACGCAATGTTGCAAACTCGATTTCCAACCCTTGAATAATTGAAAAGGTGTCTTTGAGATAGCCTTAGTTGGCACCCGGTTCAATGTATACGCGGCCGTCTTTAGTGCTTCAATCCACAAGAATTGAGGAAGTTTCACATTACTTCTCATACTCCTCACCATGTCCATTAATATTTGGTTTCTTCGTTCTGAAATCATTCTGGTCCGAAGAACCAAGCATAGTGTATTGGGCAACAATCCCATTTTTTTGAAGAAACCTCGCAAATGGATCGGCAGCTTGTTCATTTTCTGAGTATCTGCTACAATACTTACCACCTC